AGAGCCTTGGAGGCCTCAGCCCTCCTCCTGGGCCTGTTTCCAAGGCCGGTATAATCACTTCCTTCAACCAACAGTTGCCTTCTGGGACCTTTGAGCTTGGCAACCGCTCTCTGACCCCAAATGCCAAGCTGGTGTGACCCTTATGATCAGTTTAGTAGATGTCCAGTGTAGGGGACAATGTGCGCTCTGGGGTTCCCAGGTGACCCCGATATGCCCTCCAGCTCTGCTGAGTCCAGAACACATCTCTGCAGGCACTTCCCCTCTGTGGCTCCTTGGATGCCCCTGAGATTCATTCTGTGTCTGGTTCCCCCCAAAACCCCCCCCAGGGCGACCCTTCCCAGGTCTGTTCTCTGATCAGTCCCATCTGTCCCTCGGGAAGTGCAGAGCCTGCTTCTAACTCTCACACAAGCCATAGTGGTAAGAGAAAGGCAAGGGGCTTCTCCCTCCCTCGCTGCCAGCTCCTTCACCTCCACTGTGACCTCTAAGAACTCTGAGAGGCAGTGACCTCCTCAGTGAACCCCTGTGAACCCGAGGCCCTGCCCTTGCCTCTCTCAGCCACGTGCTCCTTCCTGGGCCACTAAGCACTCAGGTCAAGATGCAAATAACTGCTCTGTGAGCAACGTGGCCAACCTGTGACCAACTTTCCTGATGGAACCTCATTCAGACACGTGGGGAGGAGAACTGGCCCCAGAACTGCATGGGCAGGCCTGGTCAGAAGGGAAGATGCTTATCAGAACTCCTGGGATGCCAGACACTGCCACTCTGTCTGGGCCAGGCTGAGATGACATCCTGCAGCCCCAGTGCCCACCCAGTGCCCTCCTACGTGATTGCCAGTCCCCCAGGTGACTTCAGGAGGCTTGGCACCTCCTTGATCCCATGAGGTCTACCAGATGTGGCCCCCAAGGAAAAGATGGCAAAATAAAACTCATATATTTTTCCAAATCTCAGTACCAGTGGGGACAATCATGCCATTTCTAGAGGGCTGGTGGGAAGGTCAAATGAGAGGTGTGGACGAGGGCCCAGGGAGCACTGGCCCCTAGAAAGTGATGCCTCCGTTGCCCCATAGTGTTGGGGGGTGTGGTCTCCTGATGATCAATGCCTTTCTGTTCCTGGCTGCTGCCCTGCTCTCCCTGAGTGGCGGGACTGTCACTGCATTTCCCAGGGGCACAT